CCTCCCTTCCCCTGTTCCCCTCCCCTCCCCTCCCCTCTCTTCTCTTCTGTGTTTCCATTCTAGAAATTCTTTCCCTCATCCCCTCATTGCTTCTGCAGAGCATTTACCCTGACAGTGCCCCCAAGTCTCGTGGCTGCCTGGCTGCTGGATGACAGTCATGCATGCATTGCACGTCTCCCCCCGAGGAGTAATACTGGGGACAATTTGTAGATGGATGGGAAACTGAAGCAAAGCATGCTTCAATTTAGATTCCCCAAACTGCCACAGCCCCACTGAAACTCTACAACTGTTACCCTTAACAGAAGTTTTGCTTCTATTTTCATGTATAACATGCAAGCCCATGGCCTTGAACGGGCTTGGCAGAGGATTGTTAGTGTTTAGGGATTGTGGTCTCTGAGGCAGATTCACGTGCATCTGCCCAAGTTTAAGATCAGCGGCCGCTCTCTCATGTTCTGTTTATCTGTCTTTGCTGTCGTAGAATCCCAGTGTCCCAATGCAGAAGTTGCAGGATATCCAGAGAGCAATGGAGCTGCTATCCGCATGCCAGGGCCCAGCCAGGAACATTGACGAGGCTGCAAAGCACAGATACCAGTTTTGGGACACACAACCGGTACCTAAACTAGGTATGCTTTTCTGCTTTCCTTTTTTATTCCCCAGAAACAAAGCTGGATGAACACCAACAGACAAACACATGCCCTTTCCTGTGCCCTTTTAAGGTTGACCCAGTGCTTTAAGAGGCTAACACAGAAGGGTACAGTAAGTCTCCATAAAACCCAGAGAAGAGACTGGAAATCTCCTCTTTGGATCCTGTCTGGAGTCACACCTGAAAAAAAGAAAAGAAAAACAAACACAGAGAGTTAATGTCGCATATGTCATTTGTTTCATACCACAGATTTGAAATCTATGCAAAAGGAATATTTTTCTTCTTAAAATGTCAGTATTAGGTGGTGGCATGAGCTTTCGGTAACAATTATTTTAGTTCAATTTCTATCCCAATAAAAACAGCCAATTTCCCCACACTTGAAACGTTACTAGTATTATTATGATTATTATTTTTTAGATAGGGTCTCACTCTGTCACCCAGGCTGGAGTACTGTGGCATGATCATAGCTCGCTGCAGCCTCCTCCACCTCCTGGGCTCAGGTGCTCCTCCCACATCAGCCTCCCATGTCACTGGGACCACAGGTGCACACCACCACACTGGTCTAACTTTTGTATATTTTTATAGAGATGCTGTTTCACTATGTTGCTTGGGCTGGTCTCGAACTCCTGGGCTCAGGTGATCTACCTGCCTTGGCCTCCCAAAGTGCAGGGGTTACAGGCATGAGCCACCACACCCAGCCCATTAGAGTATTTTTTTCTTTGAGATGGAGTTTTGTCTTGCTGTCCAGCTGGAGTGCAGTAGTGTGATCTCGGCCCTCTGCACCCTCTGCCTCCTGGGTTCAAGCAATTCTCCTGCCTCAGCCTCTTGAGTAGCTGAGATTACAAGCATGTACAATTCCTAGCTAATTTTCTATTTTTAGTAGAGACAGGGTTTCTCCATGTTGGTCAGGCTGGTCTCAAATTCCCGACCTCAGGATTTGTCTGCCTTGGCCTCCCAAAGTGCTGGGATTACAGGCGTGAGCCACTGTGCCCGGCCTGGAGTATTAAAAATGTATGTAAGGTTCCATGATGGAAGGACTGGGCCCCGAGGGTCCCTCATTCCGCATGTGTCTGTTGATCGTCTATTATTAAATGCCCCGCACTGCCCAGTACACACAGCTTGAAACAGTGGTGAAATGAAGGACGAAAGGTGGCCAGGCAGGGGTGGAGGGGCGACATACTGAGGTAGAGAAAGGCTTTAGTCAGGAAGAGATGCTGGGAGAAAGTGACACATGACACATAGCTTCTGTTGAGAATTCCAAGGGGCCAGTCCCTTGGGGACCAGAGGGCCTCAACCCGAGGGAAGGCACCAGGAAGGCCCTGAGCTGAGGCCAGCCCTGGGCAGCATGGCCAGATCACTAGGAGCAGGGGGCAGGGAGGGTGTGGAGAGGCAGGCAGCGGCCGTGGGGAAGAACCTGGGTTTCAGTCCTGCCGTGTTGGGAAGCTCTGCAGAGAATGACTTAGAAAAGACATCTTGGTGGAAATCACTAGGAATTGTGATGGCCTGCACTGTGCTGCTAGGGGTTCGGACGGGGAGAAGTAACCAGCCTTGAAATTATTTTCAGGTTTTGCCGGGAGGGGGTGGAGGTCACTGCTGCCCTTCCTCTCCCAGTTTGTGGAAATGCAGTAAAAAGAACAAACCTCCCAAGGCTGGCGTGTGAAACCTACGTTGCTTATGGCGGTGTGTAGATAAGGCTGCATTGTAGGCCTTGAGACTCAGAGAAAGTTTTGTCTTGTAATATCGTGTTTGTCATTGTATGACAAAGGATTTCTACTTTTATTTTGTTGTTTGTTTATTTATTTATTTATTTATTTTGAGATGGAGTTTCACTCTTTTTGCCCAAGCTGGAGTGCAATGGCACGATCTCGGCTCACCGCAACCTCCACCTCCTGGGTTCAAGTGATTCTCCTGCCTCAGTCTCCGGAATACCTGGGATTACAGGCCCCCACTCCCACGCCTGGTTAATTTTTTGTATTTTTAGGAGAAACGGGGTTTCACCATGTAGCCAGGCTGGTCTCGAACTACTGATCTCAGGTGATAGGCCCGCCTCAGCCTCCTGAAGTGCTGGGATGTGAGTCACTGCACCTGGCCTCTCCTTTTATTTAATTGGCAAAATAGGCCAGCCATGGTGGTTCTCACCTATAATCCCAGCACTTTGGGAGGCTGAGATGGGCGGATCACTTGAACCCAGGAATCTGAGATCAGCTTGGGCAACATAGTGAGACTCCATCTCTACAAAAAAATTAAACAATTAGCCGGGCAGGTGGTGTACACCTGTAGTCCCATCCACTCAGGAGGCTGAGGCAAGAGGATCACTTGAGCCCAGGAGTTGAAGGCTTCAGTGAACCAGGATTGCACCACTGCACTCCAGCCTAGCTGACAGAGTGAGACACCATCTCAAAAGAAAAGAAAAGAAAAATAATTGATGAAACAGCAATTATTTCACACCACTGCCTAGCTTTCTTGTTTCAGTTCAAAGGCACTTAATGTAACAGCAACTTTTTAAAGATTCTATGAAACCCACGTCAGGCGTGGTGGCTCACACCTGTCATCCCAGCACTTTGGGAGGCTGAGGCGAGCAGATCACCTACAGTCAGGAGTTCAAGACGAGCCTTGGCCAACACAGGGAAATCCCGTCTCTACTAAAAATGCAAAATTAGCCGGGGTGCGGTGGTGCATGCCTGTGATCCCAGCTACTCAAGAGGCTGAGGCAGAGAATTGCTTGAACCTGGGAAGCGGAGGTTGCAGTGAGCCAAGATTGTGTCACTGCACTCCAGCCTGGGCAATAAAGCAAGACTGTCCCAAAAAAAAAAATTATATGAAACCCAAGGGCCCTGAGTCTGATTTTGCTTATGTCACTGACCACTTTGGATGGTTAAAATACTTTGTCATTAAATATTCTCTCTTCTTGCCTTTCTTTTTCCTCTTTCTCTCCCTGTTCAGATGAAGTCATAACATCTCACGGTGCAATTGAACCAGATAAAGACAACGTTCGCCAAGAACCCTATTCTTTGCCACAGGGTTTTATGTGGGACACTTTAGACTTGAGTAATGCCGAAGTGGTGAGTGAGTAAAAACCTCTTAAATTCAACGCCTGCCTTCACACAGGTTGCTTCTGAGTTGGTTCTGAGCACCATGGATAGGACACTTCTTTTATCTTATAGCTCAAGGAGTTATACACGTTGTTAAATGAGAATTACGTGGAAGATGATGACGATATGTTTCGCTTTGACTATTCACCCGAGTTCCTATTGTGGTAAGTTTCGCTGGTCACGTATGTCGTGGATAGGTGCTGTTGAACTGGGGACTCCTGTGCCTGTTCCTGTATTCTTGGACAATAATTGGTGCCTGTTTTCTTGTCTATTGTGACCTCAGGGCTCTGCGTCCACCAGGCTGGCTCCTGCAGTGGCACTGTGGGGTCAGAGTGTCTTCAAATAAAAAACTGGTCGGGTTCATAAGTGCCATTCCAGCAAACATTCGGATTTATGACAGGTATGTGTTTAAGCTTGTCCATACTGTTTTTATGTGTTTCTTTTCCAAGAATTGCACTTAGAATAGGCCTTTAAAAATTACTGAATGCAGGCCTGGTGCAGTGGCTCATGCCTGTAATCCCAGCACTTTGGGAGGCCGAGGCAGGTGGATCACCTGAGGTCAGGAGTTCAAGACCAGTCTGGCCAACATGGTGAAACCTCATCTCTACTAAAAATACAAAAGTTAGCTGGGCATGGTGGTATGTACCTGTAATCCCAGCTACTCAGGAGGCTGAAGCAGAAGAATCACTTGAACCCAGGAGGTGGAGATTGCAGTGAGCTGAGATGGCACCATTGCACTCCAGCCTGGACAACAAGAATGAAACTCTGTCTCAAAAAAAAAAAATTACTGAAGTAAGCTGTTGATGGTCAGGGAGGTTGTGTATGTTTGGAGACAGAGGCTTTATGGAAACTCTCTGGTTTTGCTGTAAACCTAAAACTGCTTTAAAAAATAAAGTTTATTAAGTAGTAAAGAAAAAAAATATTGGACTGTGAACAAAAATAAAGGACAGTGGTTTCTTTTTCTTTTTTTCTTTCTCTGCCTCTCAGTCTCATACATGCACACACATGTATGTATCAGAATAAACGAAGCCTTTGCTGGGCTCGGTGGCTCACGTGTATAATCCCAGCACTTTGGAGGGGTTAAGGTTGGCAGATCACTTGAGGTCAGGAGTTCAAGACCAGCCTGGCCAATATGCCAAAACCCCATCTCTACTCAAAATTTAAAAATTAGCTGGGCATAGTGGTGTGCGCCTGTAATCCCAGCTACTTGGGAGGCTGAGGCATGAGAATCACTTGAACCTGGGAGGCAGAGGTTGCAGTGAGCTGAGATTATACCACTGCACTCCAGCCTGAGCGACAGAGCAAGACTCCATCTCAAAAACGAACAAAAAAAATCACTTAAAATTTTTTTAGGGGAGATAAAGCTTTCTCTCCATAGGATACATTGCATTTTTACTCTGGGTCTCCAGTCCAGAAAGTCAAAGATCCAGCCATGAAAGTCA